CAAGGCGTCAGCGACGTTCTCGTGCAGAACTTTTTCTTTTTTTATTGCCGTGCGAGGTGTTTTTTTCTTTTTTTCGGATGGCTTATTTGCTATGCCGCTGGTGCTTGGAGATCAGAACTCTTTGACCCATCTGCGTGCAATTATGAGAGCGATGGCCACTGCTGGCGTTGACATTCAAACCTTGAGTTCCCGATGCAGCCAGGTCCTTCTAGCGTTCAGTGCCGACGGCGCTGCCGCGTGCGACCTGGTGATCGACTACTTGAAGTGCGTCGTGGCGCTGTTTGGGAACGTACTGATCCAGGATGTGACATTGCGCCTCGCGCACGGTGCAAACCGCGCGCGCCCGGGCCACATCGCGGGCAGCAGGTTTGGTTTGAACGGCGTTTTTCTTTCAGCAAACTGATGTGCATTGGTGTTTATTTTGATGCGTTCAGCCAAGGCGTGCTGCAAGAGGCAGTTTCTGACATCGGCTGGAGTGAGTACGGCGGCCCCCCCGAAGGCGATGGTGCAAAGCATTGGCGGTTGCCTAGGCTGTGCTGGCCAGATCTGGACCAGCATGAACGCAGGAAGGCCAAAGTTGCAGAGGCGCTGTCCGTTCTGAACGGGCGTTGGGACCTCCCGCGCGTGGCGCGCCATGCGTGTTGCAACCCAACGGGCGCCCCTGCTGCTCGAACGGCCGCCACGTGGAAGTGAAAGTACGGGATGCAGTGAGTAAGCTCTTGTTGGGCAGAAAACCTCCAGTCCCATGCTCTTCGAGATGGTCGACGACGGTGCTGTGCAACGGTTGGTGGTGCGCAGGTATCTTCGCGCATGAGCTGTTCCCGCGCGGATTCGCGCGCGCCTTCGGGCGCGCGCCCGCCGCTATTCCGCCCGCGGCTGCACGGCCGGGCGACGGCGGCGGCGACGGCAGCGGCGGCGGCGACGATGGAGAATTGACTTTCCAGCAGATATTGGGGAAGCGGAAGGCCAGGGGCAGCCGCGACATGAGCCGCGCTTATTTCGATCTGAACTTGATTTTTATTTAGACAATTATCAAGCCGCTGCATTGGCCCATGGGCACATTGTTGGAAATCTCCAAACTCGAGAGACGGGGGCAGGGCCAGCCAGTCGTTGGGGAAGTTGCTTCCTCCATCGACCGCTGCATGACCTCGATGGCGAATTTCTTATAACGCGACATAACCGATTCTTCAGGGGATTGGTTTGCCACGCGCTGCTCGCGAGCTGGTGGCCCCGCGTTCGCTGAGGGTTGTTTCAGGATATTCGCGCGCAAAGAGTTATTGCGCGTTTGCGGGGGCGTCGCCATGCGGTTGACTTCTGCGATGAGCGAGCCAGATGTGCAAGTTCTATTGGCGTTGGAATCTGGAGACGACGCCATCATGCAGGTCTGCGCTGGCACGTGCACAGGTTTGCCGTGCTGCTTTCCCCTTTTCCACATTAACATGCCATGAGTGGATGCGGGGGGGGGGGGCAAATGTCAGCTGACGTTGGCAAAGAACACATGGTGCCCTTCCATCTTACAGACAGAGCGGGACCACGGCGACAACCAGAGGCGCGCGCGTGGTAAGCAGGCGCGACCGCGTTCTTGCAGGAGGCAGGCGGCTGCCCATGTTTGCAAGTTGTCTTCGTCGCGGCGGTGCCGAGGGAGCCCCGCGCGGAAGAAGGCGCTCCTGCGACAATCATCCCTCTCGCTCTCGCAGGTCCGAGCTCGCATGCGCCTCGCCCGGGGCAGGGGTCGAATCGGCAAGGGGTCGAGGCCGCCGCTCACTTACATCAACAAAGGTTTTGATTTTTTGCGAGCCCACGGCCTGGGAGGGCGGCTTGATGGGCCGCGTCAGCAGCTCGCTGCAGAATACAGGCGGTTGCGCCCAGAGGAGAGACAGCGGATCTTGAGGGATTTCCGAGGCGCCCAGACTGCTGGCGCGGCGGCAGCGCGGCAGCGCGTCGAGGCCGCGGCGGCCGCTGAGGCCCTTGCCGCCCCTTTATCCAGCGTCCTCACGCCTCCATGTCCTTTCTCTTTTTCGCTATTTCTCTTTTTCTCACTTTCGCTTTCTGTTTCTTTGATGCCTTCGCAGCCCGTCGCGATCTCCCAGGTCGGCGCGGACCCCAACAGCCAGTCGGGCATGGGCAGCGCCGAGTGGCCAATCTCCTCAGACCATTGGGAGGCCTTTCGGCGGGAGCATCCGGCTGCTACTTCCAAGGGGGTGCTGCGACGGGCAGCCGCTGACGTCTTCCCTGAGACTGACATCGTGGAGCCCGCTACCAACTATAGGGCGGCGGTGCCCCCAGTCCTCCGAAATTTGTGTCGGCGGAAGCACAGGGGATTATGTCGAACCCGTGATGCGGCGATATTCGGCCGCGCGATGTCTTGCGTGAAACACATCCGCGGGTTGGAGTCGCCGGGGGCCGCAGGAGGCCTCGCGCTGCGATTCCTCGCCGAAGGTTGCGTGGGCGATTTCCGTTCGCACGTGCACGTGACTTTGGAATCGACGCGACCGAATCCGAAGTGCATTGCCATGTATGTGCGTGGAGACGTGGAGGAGGGCGGTTGAGTTCCCCTTCCGCTTTACGGACCGCGTCGCTTCCGAGGCGCGCGTCGCGCATCTTGTCGCATTGCATGATGGGAAGAAGTATTTAGCCACGTTGCGGTCTTGGCAGCTAGCCGCATTGCTCTGCGAGTTGTTTCCTGCCAAGGTTCGCATGGAGCGCCTGGGGCACAGCGTCACGCGTATTCTGAAAGAGATTTGCGCGACAGGGGCCGAGCGCGTCGGCGACGACATCATGGAGCCCTTGGCGGACGAAGACTCGCGCCGACCAACTGCTCGGCGATTGCGCGGCCTTGAGATGGCGGCCTCGACGGGTAAGTCGAGGGCTGGTTCTCGACGGGGGGGGCAGACCGATCGCGGCGCCTCCGGCCCCACTGGCAATCAGAGCCGCCTCGGCCGCGCGCAGCGCGCTCTCGGCGCCAGTTGCGACGAGCCGGGGCAGGAAGAACTTTGGCGGATGCAAGCTCTGGGTCAGACCGCCGCGCGGGCCAAGCGCCAGCGGCGAGTTGGCGAGGCTGGCAGGATCAGCGAGGACGGCAGCGGGAAAGACGTCAAAGATTGGTGCGCCGAGCACGCGCGCAGCCTCAAACGTTTGTCAGAGAAACGGCAGCGTCTGGCGAAGGCTCCTCGTTCTTCAGGCGCCGAGCGGGTGAGGGCCCTAGTTGGCGGCGCCGCAGGCCCCCCAGCGGCTTCGACCCAAGGGCAGGCTTCGACCTCGGCGGACGCGCTGGCTTCAGGGCAGCCGTCGAAGGTTCGAGCGCAGGGCCGTAAGGGGCCCCTGCTGCTGCTGCCGCGCCCAGCGGCGGGCCTGCGCCAAGCTTAGAGCCGGCAGTTCCTAGGGCAATCGCGGCGCCCTCTGCGTCGCGTCGTGCTCGGGGCGCCCCGCGGGGTCCAATGCGTGCCAATGGGCCTCGATTTACATTGGCCCCTGTGCGCCCTGGCGGAGGCCGGGTGCTTTTCGATTCGCGAGGCCACCCAGCGCATCAAACGGCGGTGCGTTCTTGGGTTGACGATCCCAGACGAGCCTGGAGGCAGGTCCGCGCATATGAATATGTGACCTCGTGATTTCAACGTCGGGGAATTAGACTCGATGAGCGACCTTGATGCCGTGGCAAACCTGCCGCATGCACCGGCAGCCTAGCAGGATGCGGCGGCAGCGTTCGATATGCAAGCCCACAGCGAGCTTGTACATATTGCTTCTGCAGCTGCCATTCCTCGCCTCATCTCAGCTGCCGCATCCGTCGACAAACTCTCCCTATATGTCTTCCTCATCCTGCTCGCCTTTCGCCTCGGGGTCCTCCTCCCCCCCCCTCCTCCTCCACCTGCACCTGCACCTCCCCCTCCTCCTCCTCGTCCCCCTCCTCCTCCTCCTCCTCCCTTTCCCTTCCTCCCCTCCCCTCCCTCCTCCCCCCCCCCTTCCTCTCCTCCTCCTCTCCTCCTCCTCCTCCTCCCCCTCCTCCTCCTCCTCCTCCTCCTCCTCCTCTTCTTCCTCCTCCTCCTTTTGCCCCTCCCGCTCCTCCTACTCCCCCTCCTCCTATTTCCCCTTCCTCCTCCTCGCTCAGTGTTCCCATTTTCTGCGGAGCCCGCAACTTGATCATAATTATTGTCTTCCCCCGTTCGCCCCGCTGGTTCCCGAGCCGCGGGCCGCGCGCGCAGGAATGCGTGCGCATAGCGCGCCCGGATCAGACATCCTCTGCCCGTTGTGTCCGCGGCGCGCTCCACCCGAAAAAGGTCGATCGCGTTGAGGGGGCCTCGAGGAAGGATCTGCGGGCGCCGGCTGCTCTTTAAATGCCTCGCCCTCACTTTGGCCGCGCCGCCCCCGTCGTCGCTGCAGGGGCGCGCCGGGTCTGGCGCAGATTCGTTCGCAAGGCATTGCGTGGATAATTGCAGGGCATTTGCGCAGGGCATGCGTGGCGTCGTCGCGAGGGTCAGTTTGGGATCTCTGTGCGGTTTTCGATTGATCTGTGCTGATCTTTTGCAGGGTCATTGCAGGGCCTTCTCAGGGTCTGAATTGGGGCGCATCGGCGCGGCGTTGAAACGATCCCCGCGGCAAGAACATGCGCGAGACCTGGAATGAATGCAGGGTGCAACTGCGGCTTGGGTAGAAGTATCAGCATGTCGAGAGGGGCTCGGTAATGGTGTCATAGCAGCGTGCGCCGAGTGACTTAATTTGTTTTTAAACGCGGCGCCATGCCCCCCCCCAAAAAAAAAAACAACAACAACAACAACAATTACAACACCTTGAGCCCAATTGGCATGGTAGGATTTCGCATTAGCGGCCGCTGAGTGCGCACAAGGCGCATTGTTCACGCACAAACGCCTGCTCGCACCCACGCACGCACGCACGCGCGTCATATTTAGCAACGCAGGTAAATCCCACCAACAGAGCGTCCGCGTCGGCATCTCAGCGAACGTTGATTTTGCGGGGCCCATGGGTCGTCGGGGGGCCCTGCTGGCCTGCGCGGCCAAGCGTCTCCATCGCAGCTCCCTCGAGCTTGGATGCATCCGTGGGTTTAGCGGCCTCCCCCCCCTCGCCATTTCTGCAGCCGCGACTGTTCAAATCATCGGGGCGCATCGCCAGTGCAAGGGCATAGGCTTGTCGACAGGTGGCAGGCATATCCAAGCGGCCTCGCGTGCAGGGGCCGCGGCCCGGGAGTGTTCGCCCTTGCGACGTTGTCCCCGTCGGCGGCCGCCTCCATGACGGCTCCGACATGTTAGCATCGATGTCGACAGCGCTGACGATGGCTCTCAGCAGCAATGATATTCTCGCATTCGCTTCTGCAGAGAAGAACACGAAGGATCGCGCTGGCACTCAGCGCGCCCGCTTGGGCAGCATGTGTTCTGGATCTGGCGTGGGGGGCCTCGCATTGCACAAATGTGCGGAGTGCCAATCCCGCTCCGAGGGAAACCTCGTCGAGTTCGAATGTAGTTCTCCGTGCGAGATTGATCGCCACAAAGCCGATTGGTTAAAGCATTTGGATCTGGCCCCGCTCGTTTTCGAGGACATCACCCAGATGGGCCTAGAACAGCGCTGCGATTGGACCAGTGAGAGTTCACCGCCAATCCCTGATGTGCAGGTCGTGCTCTTGTGGTTCTCTTGCAAAGACCTGAGCATATATAATATACCAGTCGCCCAGGTCCCCGGGCCCAGAGGCAGCCCACTTTTCCAGAACTCCCCCGCCCCCCCCCGCGCCCGACTTAGCCCCTGGCGCCGGCGAGCCTATTTCAACGCTCCAGGGCGCCCCCTGCGCCTCGGAAGCACCCTTGGCGCCCGCAGAGGGCGCCCAGAGGCCGCCAAGACAGCCCGAGAGCGCACCGAGCCGCCGAAGATGGCCCCGCGATGTCCCAAGAGGCCCCCAAGAGGCCCCAAGAGCGCTCCAAGAGAACCTCCAAGAAGGCCCCAGGAGGCCAACATTTTTTTTTTCTTTTTCCTGCCGTTCGCGTTTTCGGGCTTCCGACGCGCCAAGACCACGCAAAAAGCTTCGAACATCGTCCCAGGGGGGCCCAAGAGGCCCCCAAGAGGCCCCCAATCCAGCCCAAGATAGCCCCTAAACGGCCCGAGAGAGGCCCAAGACGGCCCAAGAGGACCCAATAGGGAAACCACGAACCGGCATGTCGCCCAAAAGAGGCCCCCAAAAGAGAACCTAAGCGCGCGAAGCGCGCGCGTGTTTTATGAGCGCGCAAACGCCCTCGGCGACGCCGCGTGCACCCTCATCGAAAAGTGCATTGAACATCCAGACGACGAGCAGTTTCAGCCGCGCGCACTTTGTGATATGGAGGGCTCCACGGCGCCAACATTCCTCGGCGCGATGAGCTACGCGCGGGAACACCTCCCTGATTATGCGCTCATGGAAAACGTACTGCCAGTTACAAGAATGCTGCCCCTCGCGCAAAAGCTGATGAGCAAACTAGGTCATGCATTCTTCGCTTCGGACACCATGGCCCCCACGATGTTAGGCGCTGCGAATATGAAACCACGCGTGTATTTCGGGGGGCGCCGCCGCAGCTCGCTAGGGCCCTCTGGAGGCGACTATGCCGCGGACGTCCTCGCGTCGATAACGTTTGATGTGCAGTTTCACGGAAGAGCAGCCCATGCCGCTGAGCTCTTTTTTGCTGGATGCAGGAAGCTCTTATTTCAAGGCTTTCGAGGCGGCGCAGCAAACTAGTGCCGCCGGAGGGGGCTGGGGGACCAAGCGCTGCAAGGCCTTTGGGGCGTGGGGGTTCCAGCGACCGCCCGCGCAAGATCTCGCGGACTTCGCTTCCGAGGCCGCCCCGTTGATGAAGGCATGATTTTTGTCGCAACCGAGGCGGTCCCAGGAGGTGGCGCACTATGCTAGTTTGGTCGCCTCCCAGCGCGGAGAGGAAGTCACGGTGGGCCCCTCGCAGAACATCGACCGGGTGCATTGCAGCACGACGTCCGAAAAGCTGCGTGTTGCGACATTCACGGAGGGTAGCATCACTTGGTGCACGCGGTCTCGTCGCTTCCTGAGTGGCCGAGAGCGTTTGGCAATGCACGGCGTCAGCATGCGCAGCATGACATCACACGCTCCCGATTTGCTCTTGGCAAGCTTCGCTGGGAATTCCTTCAGTGCCACTTGCTTTCTAGCAGCGTTCGCGGGTGGTTTTCGGCCGTGGCCTGTATATTTCATTCGGCGGCCGCGGTCTACAGGCACGCAGACAGGCGCGTGGCCATTGTCGTTTTTATCTTGGTCGTTTGACCTGCGCCCGCCCTGGGGCCGCCCCAGAAACAATCCGAATGAGAGGGGGGAGCTGGCCGATGGAGACGCCCCAGCGCTGCCTTGGAGTGTTTCGGCTTGTTCTTGCCCTCGCCTCGGGCTGTCGTCGGCGATCTGACGCAGGCCCGCGCGGCCGTGAGCAGACGTTGAGGCTTCGCAGGGCTTGGGCCAAGACGTGCCAAGCTATGCGCCGAGGCATGGCTGGGTATATGCCGAGGCATGCCCAGGCGTGCGCTGAGGCATGCCTAGGCATATGCTTCGGCATGCCTAGGCATATGCTTGGGCATGCCTCGAGGCATGCATATGCGGCCGTGGCTGGGCGTAGCAGGGCGTAGTTGGGCGTGGCAGGGCGTAGCAGATGCTGCGAGGCATGCCTCGAGGCATGCCTTGGCTTGCCTACGCATTGCCTGGCCATGCCTAGGCGTATGCCTGGCCATGCCTAGGCACAATGCTTGGACATGCGTTGGCGCATGCCTAGGCATCACTGGGCCCCGCCGCGGGCCTCTTGCATTCGCGCATGGCCTTGCGTGGCCTAGGCCCAACGGCGGAACGCGGGCCACTTGAATTCGCAAATGGCCATGCGTGGCCTTGGCCTCAACGCGGGCCACTTGAATTCGCAAGTGGCCTCGCGTGGCCTGGGCCGAAGCGCTTGCGCGGACAGGGATCGCTGTTTGTTTTCGCGCTAACTTGGCGGGGGCCCCATCGCGGGCCATTTGACTTCACAGATGGCCTTGCGCGACCTAGGCTCTAACGCTGGGCGCGGGCCATTTGCATTTACAAATGGCCTCGTGCGGCTTGGGCCCCAGCGCGGGCCACTTGGATTCGCAAGTGGCCTCGCGCGCCTTGGGCCCCATTGCGGATCCTGGGTCATTTTGATTCAAAAGGTTTCGCGCGCCCTGGGCCCCAATGCGGGCCATTTGAATTCGCGTCTGGCTTCGCGTTGCCTGGGCCCCAACGCGGAGCGCGGGCCACTTGGATTCGCGAGTGGCCTCGTGCGGCCTGGGCCCCAACGCGGGCCATCTGAATTCACGAATGGCCCTGCGTGTCCTGGGCCCCGCCGCGGGCCGCCTGAATTCCCAAATGGCATCGCGTGGCCTTGACCAGTGCGCGGGCCACTTGAATTCAAGTGGCTGCTATTGGCAAGTATCAGCAATGATACCTGTGACATCTGTGGGACCGTGCTCCCTCAGGCAAGCGCGCGTTGCTTCAGCAGTCGCATCGCAAATTGGGAGCGGCCCGAAGGTTTGGGGAATGCCAGCCCATCCTCGGGATCCGCAATCCTTCGGGGCTTCCAGGTTCATTCTGGTGGTGCCGGGTGCCAGGTGCACTGGTCATTTTTCCTCCGTGGACCTCTTGTAAGTGCATCGCATTGTTACATCGCTGCTTGGCTGCCACACTGCCCCATGATGTTCCGTGGCCTTGGGCTCAGGGGTTTCCAGGATCATTTTGGCGGTGTCGGGTGCCGGGTGCATTTTGGTGGTGCAGGTGCATTGGTCACTTTCCTACGTGGTTCTCTTCAGCTGCATCGCATTGTGTTGCGTCTTTTTGTTGGCTGCCACGGCGCCTCAACCCATGCCGACCCACCGCCACAGACCCACGCAACAAAGTCGAACCACAGCCGACACACGTCTACTGTACACAGACCCATAACAACTGGTCCATCCCAGCCCCACAACAACGGCCCCTCGCAACATGCCCGGGACACCGCCGACCCGCGGCCACACAGAGGCACGGCAGAACACAGAAACACGGCAGAACAGGAGCACGGCATAACACAGGAGCACAGCAAAACACACCTCGCACGCACGCCGACACGCGCGCCACGGAAACCAGGTCTGAAACTTATTGTTTGGAAAACCACACCTCAAGAGGCTTCGTTCAAATCGGGCGGCGCGCGCCCAGAAACTCCGCCAAAACAACCGCCGCGACGATTCGCGCGGCAGAATGCAGGAGCACGGCAGAACACACAGGGCACACAGGGGCACGGCAGAACACAGAAGCACGGCAGAACAGGAGCACGGCAAGGGCAGAGGTTAACAGGGGAGAGGAGGAGGGCCCCGAGGAAGACCAATACCAAAACCCAGAAACGCCGGGGACCAATTCAAATCATAATGTGAGGCATCTCTTACTCCAACGGGTGGACCCCACATGCAAACCTAATTTTGTATGGAATATGTACACTATCAGAATGATGCTGCTCCTGATGGCGCTGCTGCTGCTTCTCCCCCCCCCCCCTCCCCCTCGCCTCCTCCGCCAACATTATATAATATTATGTTAGACAAATTTGTTTGACAGCAGGCCTCCGTTAGACAATTCTCTTTGACTGCAGGCCTCGCCTGGTGATTGTGACTGACTTGCTCGATGCCAATTTTTTCCTGCGCGACGCAAGCCTCGCTCAGATGATGAATCCTTTGGCCAACCTGCGTCAGATCACAATGGGCAGTGCTCCCGAACGACGTTGCGCCAGGAGAGGCTGGAACGCCAACTGAAGCGAACCGCAATATTCAAACTCCGGCACCGAATGCACCGAGGAGCCGAGGAGCGGCAGAGTTTCAGCGACGTCCGAGGCGAGGAGAGGAAGGAGGGGGGGGGAGAAGCGACCGGGACAAATGCATTGTGTGCCGATCCCTGACGGCTACCAGCCGTTTCTATAAAACACATAATTGCTCCATCCAGACACACTGCAACAAATCCTGCAATGGCCCCAGGCTCGGGTAGAGGGTGAAACTACAACATCGAGCAAAGGATCGAACCCTGGCGGCAGCCGTGGATTGCCCTACCGCTTAAACGCCCATCAGGGGAGGAAAGAGGGCGAGGGGGAGGGGGGGCAGGAGGAGGAGAGGGGGGGAACGACGCCGCACACGCACGACCCCTATCAGTGCGATTAGCAATGCGGAATCAGCTATACAGTGCTATGCAGGATAACAGGGGGGCCAAGGAGGAGGGGTTAGGAGCCGGAACTCACCGGTAGATGGACAAGTAGAGGTGCTGGTAGAAAAGTATTGAAGTGGTAGCCGTCCCCGAAGAAAATGGAGGCCGATGAGCGCTTGGAGACGTGTGCACCAGCACCGGCCCTTCCAATGGCCCGTCTGCACAACGTCCTGCTCCAGGGTCGTGCACCGAATTCGGGGGTCGACGAGCTGGTCGACGCGGGAGTCGACGTGCTGCTCGGAGCGGGAGTCGGGAATCGCTTGGTCCAGGCCTCCCGGGGACGGGGGCGGTGAGCTGGTCGACGCCGGGGTCGATGTGCTGCTCGGGGCGGGAGTCGGGAACCGCTCGTTCCAGACCTCCTGGGGGCGGGGTCGGCGAGCTGGTCGATGCGGGGGGTCGATGTGCTGCTCGGAGCGGGAGTCGGGAACCGCTCGGTCCAGACCTCCTGGGGGCGGGGTCGGTGAGCTGGTCGACGCGGGAGTCGACGTGCTGCTCGGAGCGAGAGTCGGGAACCGCTTGGTCCAGACCCGGGGACGGGGTCTGGAGCTGGTCGATGCGCGAGTCGACGTGCTGCTCGGAGCGGGAGTCGGGAACCGCTTGGTCCAGACCTCCCGGGGACGGGGTCGGTGAGCTGGTCGATGCGGGAGTCGATGTGCTGCTCGGAGCGGGAGTCGGGGACCGCTTGGTCCAGACCTCCCGGGGGCGGGGTCGGTGAGCTGGTCGATGCGGGAGTCGATGTGCTGCTCGGAGCGGGTGTCGGGAACCGCTTGGTCCAGACTTCCCGGGGATGGGGTCGGTGAGCTGGTGGATGCGGGGGTCGATGTACTGGTCGGAACGGGAGTTGGTAGCCGTTTGGTCCAGACCTCCCGGGGGCGGGGTCGGTGCTTGATGTGGTGAGGGGGGGCAGGATTTGTCCGCCCTTTGTCGCGTCGACTGCCCCGCGTCGAAGTCGGAGTCGTAATTGGGGCGGGCGCTGGATTCGGAGCCAGTAGCTGGCGCCGTTGGCGCCGGGGTTGGTGCCGGTTGATTCTTCACGTCTTCCCGCGCATGGAAAGGCGAGTCGAGGGTCGCCGAGGCCTTGGGTGCTGTCGTGGCCTGGGGGGCCGGCGTATGCGTGGGTCCGTTGTTGGTCTTCTGCTGCGAGTCCATTGTTTTGGGTTGCCCTGTGTGTTCTGCCGTGCTGCAGTCTGCCGCGTGGATCGTCGCGGCGGCCGTTTTGGCGGAGTTTCTGGGCTCGCGCGGCCCAAGTTGAACGAGTGCCTTTTGAGAGTTGGTTGTCCAAACAATAGGTTTCAGACCTGGTTTCCGTGGCGCGCGAGTCGGCGTGCGAGCGGGGTGTGTTTTGCCGTGCTCCTGTGTGTTCTGCCGTGCTCCTGTTCTGCTCGTGTCTGCGTGCGCGCGGGGTGTGTTTTGTTGTGCTCCTGTGTGTTCTGCCGGTTAACTTTGGTGCAAACCGCCCGTCATGGGCGGTTTGCTTCGCGGCGACCGTTGGGCCCCAAAACGCTGGGAGCGGCCCCTGGGAGAGGCCCGAGACAGACAGCGAGGATCCAGCCATGGCGACGAGCGATGGCGACGGCACAAGACGCAACGAACATGTAACGAATTTCGGCGTCAACATTTGCATCCACTGTTCAGGGAGTAACGAAAATGAGACGGATTCGGCGCCCAGGCCCATCAATCAGGCACTTCGTTGCCAGTCGTCGCAAGACAGGGTCCCCAGAGATCTCTAAGAGGCCACAGCTAAACACACTTTGGGTTTTACTCGGGAGGTCTCCCGCCACTGCTGAGGAGAACGCATGTGCAAATGCATTATACGCGAGGAGCGACCAAACATAACACTTGCATATCAGAACAGCTTGCGTCGGGACTGTGTGGCGGTGTCCGCGCTTCCCATTCACATTTGTTGAAGTGCGATTGAATGCCACGGCGAGGATCAATTGAGTCGTACGCGTGTCTTGCAGAGTCTCATGGGTGGTCATCAGGCCGACGAGGGGCATTGCACCCGTTGGCTGCATTGTTTTGCATTGGGGGCTGATGTAGAACGGCCCATGGCAATGGCAAGCTTTGCCAAGCAGCGCCAACCAACACAGTCCAAGACTACCCAACCAGTGCTCACCATTTATATCAAATTCGAAGTGTTGCCAAGAGCCATAGTACGACAGCGTTGGACGTCAGTCAATGTGCCCTGGTTTTAGAAGGTGTATCTCGTCAAACCGCCTGGCAGACCTTGGCGCGCTCAGAGCGTGCTCGCGCGGAGCCCACGCATGGCCGCTTGCGATGACGATTCAATGTCGGTGCTTTCGATCGCGCGCATCAGGCACCGGGGCCCAGCCGACGCGGCAGGAACAACGATGGACCTTCTCAACGCCAACGGAAAACGTTTTCTTGAATGCGGAGGCGACGCCTATGGGAAACAGACCGTTGTGATGAAGTGGATCTCAGAGGCGCGCCCTGAGTCCCGCGACTTCTGTAAGATCCTCAACGCCCTTCCCCCAACTGTGCTCAACAGAGTGCGCCTCGCGGGGTTTGGCCACGGTTGCCGGATTCGCAATTGCATCATCTTCGGCGAGCCGAGCAACGGTGTCGATCCAGTTTTGGGGCCCCAGCTGGAACAGGTGGGAGGCGGCCCGCAGTGCTTGCTCCTGTGGGGGCATTTGGACACAGACGGGGTGTCGGTCCTGGGCGTGATCGACTTCTACTACGTCGGCGATCTGCGGCGCCGTTGGCCTGGCTTTCATTCGCCGCAGCGGCTTCCATGCTGCAGTCACGAAGCACCTCGAGGACGAGGGCCTCGACGCCACCAAGCGCAGCGTGCGGGCAAAGCACGACGCGGTCGAGATTCCACAGGCTTGCGCCGCATCCGCCGACCCCTTGCATTCCTTGTGATAGCAGCGCGAAATCGTCAAGCATCATTAGTCGTTTTCTTTCGTCTTGCGACGTCTGGCCCCTGCAGCGCGGCGCGAAGGCAGTTTTGAAGCCACCTGGGGGCATCTGGCGGGTTTTTGGGGCACTCTCGGGGCCTCCGCGTGGCTCCTGGGGGCGGAAAGGCAGATGTTTAGAATTTCTGGACAGCGCCACTGAAGCGCAAGACATGCAAAGGAGCCATTGGTCTCTGGGATCTCTTGCGGGGCTTTTCGCGGGACTCTTGGAGGCAGTTTCGAAGTCTCTTGGGGCCGTTTTCGGGCTGTGTTGGCGCCTCTTGGGTTTTTCTTTTTGGGCCTCTTGGGGGCGCCCTGGGGGTCCCTTGGGGCCTGCTGCGGCCGTCGTGGGGCGGAGGGCCCAGATTGTCGGTTCGGGCCCCCCTTCTTGGGCCCCTCTTGGGGTCGTCTTGGGGCCCTTTTGGGCCGTCTTTCGAGCCTCTTGGGCTTTCTTAGCGCCCTCGTGGCCCGACTTTGGCGCCTCTTTGGGGGCTTCTTGGGCCGTCTCGGGGCG